ACCTGTCAAAAGCAAAAACTACTTCTGAACCTTTAACCAAAGGAAATCTTTACTATGCTTTTTGCAACAAATTACAGCCTTTCTAAAGAAGTAAATTCATATGTACATTAGACTGCATCACTCCCCCACACTCGGCGCTGTGTTTCCCTTGGAATTATAACATCTATCATATTTTAAGACTTGCACCAATATATTTCAGAAAAATTTCAGATTTACGTGAGCTGGGCCGATTTGAAAATACCTCTAAAAAAATGGAGTTTTTTATAGAGTCCGACCGATGCCGAGGCTAGTATCGGCCAAACGAATTGGAATTGGCCGTTTTTGGCCGATTCTTGAATGAGGTGTTGTTGTTTAGTTATTTGATTATGTTTTTTGTCTTTTGTTATTATAAAAATTTATAAAAGCATTTGTTCTTGAAATGAAATTATATTCACATATATATGAATTAAACTAGTTTCAAGAACAAATGCTTTTATTAACTTTTATAATTACAAAAGAAAAACATAATCAAATAACTAAATAACATAACCTCAGTCAAGAATCGGCCAAAAACGGCCTATGTCGATTCTTTTGGCCTATACTAGCCTCAGCATCGGCCGATTGGTCGGTCGGACTCTAGTTTTTTATGAATAAAAATAGATTCTTAAAGAATTGTTTGAAAAAATCCCCTCAGATGACAAAACAGTTTAAGCTTGAAAAATCTGCATAAAAATTAAAAAAAAAAAATTATAGTTTAAGAAACTATTTTGAATCATACAAAAGTAAATTGTTTGAGGTATTTTCAAATCGGTCCAGCTCACGTAAATCTTATTATTTTTCCGAAATATTTTGGTAGACGTTTTGAAACATAACAGATTTTGTAATCGCGGCGGAAAACTGCAACTTCTTTTTTGGTGATGCAGTCTAATGTACATATGTACATGGTCTGTGAACATTTCTTGTCCACGATTTCAAAAATGACAATTTTTGAATTAATACACTTTTGAAAAATGTCTGAGATATACTCGTTTTGTTGCACAAACTATAAACGCACTATTTTCTCCAACAAGAAATCGGCTAAAACTTACCAACGCTGCTCCGCATTTCTTGCATACAAACGCAACATTGCAATTTTTTTTATTTAATATAATTAAAATTTTAGATTTACATGTTTAACAAAGACCATACTGTTAAAACTTATCGGTCAATTTAAATTGCGTTTTTTTCTTGTTAGAGAGTGCACATACATATAGATTCATACATAATATGTAAGTAAAATGTATGAACTCATATCCTTGTAATAAGAGTATGTTGAGACACATGTCTTTTCAAAACATTCATTCTAGCTCATATTCTTGAAAAATTTCAATTCAACTTGAATTGAGGTAAATATAGAGAACATAAAAAAATAATGTAATAAAAATAAAAAGTTCATGCTTAAGTTATCGGAAAAATAAGATGCTAGAGTTTGGATACCTTTATGAAAGATATGTCAAACATCCGATAACTACAGCTTCACATCCACCACTTATTCAATATGAATATCAGAGTATTTTACCTGCGTTTAAATATCGACTTCATTATTTGATAATTACGCCAGTAACAATGCCACCATCACAGATGGCACACATATTTACGCTAACATATCACAGATTATATAAGTATATATATGTACATTATGGAGAAACTTTAAATTACAAAAATAAATATTGTAAATAAATTCTTCTCATTATTATTACTGGATTTAATTTTAAATAGGGAAGGTACCAATGCATTCGATATCTCTAAATATGAGAATAAGAAAAGTATAAATATATCGTCGCCTCATAAAACGGATGTCGAATGACCAAAATCACGATTTTGGAATTTTGATGTAGGTTTACTAAATTGGCATGCTCTTTTGATTTCTGCAATCCATTTTTTTTATCTCCCTTAATTTTAGATATATTTCGTGTGCATTTTGTAGTATATTACATAATATTTATAATTACCCAGAAGCAATTTTGTCAAGGCCTTCCCTCTGCAAGTAATTAACAACAGCTCCTAAAGGTGTTCTTACACGATGTGTTTGCGTCTGTAAATATGACTTTATCAATACATACGTAATTGCGTATGTCTGTCAAATTCACAGTCTTTATTTAACTATTTAAAAATACATTCTTTGAAAACGAAATAAACTAAAAACTCAGATGATTCTATCTGTGTGTCAGATGAAAATAGAAACATTTCTGTTTCGTATGTACGTGTATCTGCTTTGTACAGAAACAAATCTAATTTGCCTTGACACGATATGTTGCCATTTCCATATGTAAAAAGTGGCATGTACACATGCAAATACATATCGTGTAAGAACACCTTAAGCATGTGCAGAGCACATCTAAACATGACAGAGTGCTTCCAGTGTTCCTTTTCGAAAAGTGAGTAGGCAACGTGTTACTGACATGAGGTACACAAGTTTGCAAATAAGTTTGTTTGAACGATTTGATTCAAATAAAGATTTGAAAATACATTTACATGTTGTGGCTGTAGCCGAGTGCATGGAGATGTTTGCTATTATTTATTAACTTTCAGGAAGGTCTAGTTAGTGTAGACTTAACTTAAGTGAGAAATCGTCAATGATTACTCAGCACGTCAACTTAGCCAGAAGCGAAAATATTTCTTTTTTGTATTTTCCTTTTCAGCTGATAAGTCACTTGGCCGCCTATAAGCCACATCACAAAATTCCTGAACAAAAATGTAGTGCTTTGGCTAGTATATTAGATTAAGCTACGTAAATTAAGTCTAGACTGACTGAACGACAAATGTATACGGAATGTACACCCCTATCGCCCTAACTACTTTGAAAATACCACGCATATCTACTACTAGTCGACACTCGCAATAGGGGTGGTAGTCAATTTTCTCATTAACATTTACAGGTATTACATTAAAAAATATGGAAAAAAAAAAAAAAATAGCGCCAAGTACGTCTCCTTCAAAAATTATAAAAATTGACCGTATAGGTTTTGATTAATTCGACCTTAAAAAATTTCAAAGTCAATTTTCTCAAACCCGTGTTTTGTAACAATTCGACATCCCTTTTTTGAGGTGCCACAATGCAAAAAGGCCTCCAATGACAAATTAAAAATTTTAAATAATCAAACAACTATGCTATATTAGAAATGCCTTCAAAGCATTTGAGGCTTGTTTTTAAACTTCGGTATGGGGGATAGCGGATAGCAAACTAACGGATTATTAAAAATTTCATTTGGAAAGCGTGATAAATAAGTCCTTTTGCATTGATAATGCTAATATATATTCAAGTAGATATCGTCGTTTATGCAAAACCGCGTAACAAGATAATGCAAAACCGCATATGTGCATAAACTATTTTCTAGAGTAAAAACACTCATATTTCGAAATGGTTCTCTTTTTATAAAGCAATCGTATTTCTGTCTTGTATATTTTAGGACGAATGGATAAGGCTCAGCCAAGAGCTTGTGTGAGAAAATCCAATTTTTGGCAGCAAATGTCAGTTACGCGGTTTTGCAGAATGACGATACGCGATTTTGTACTTTAAACTACGATATGTTTCATTGAGATAGATCGTATATAATAAAAAAATATATACGTAATAAAATAAACATCGCTGTATAAGTTTTGTGTGCGTTTGCAGCGTAAAGCTTAAAATTAAGTTAAGATAGAGAAAGAAAAAGTATGCTTTAAAAATAAAATTTATAAAATGTTTAAACTACGTGTACGATTTGCTATCATAATAATAATATAATAAGTATCAAGTATTTTGATAGGATTTGAGATCGTTTGCCTCGAAAGTACTCGAATAACTAATAAAACCGTACATTTTAAAATTAATATTACTAGTTATTTTTTTACAAAATTCTTATAGATATCTTTTTTATGTGTGTAAGCGTTGGTCAATTCGAAGGAAATGAAAATAAAATGAATCTTTCTCAAATACATTATATCGGTCACTTAAAATTAAGTAACAACGTAACTGTTTTTTACATTTTTATCACTTTTAAACGTTCTAATAGAAACAAAATTGAAATAACAATCGCAACCCTTATGGCAAACACTTTAAAATCAAAATGTGGGTGTTCACACCTGTCTGGTTATCAGGTTATGTGGCCATATTTCTTATTCAGTTACAACAATCAAATACAATATAGAACAATTTTTAACCAGATAACCTAATAACCAGGTAAGTGTAAACACCTACATGCATTGCATTATACAATTTCAGATACATATTTTTGTTCGAAGTGTACATGAGTTGGAAAAATCTATAGAAATGAAATCATTATATACCTATGTCAAGAGGTAATTGCAAATGTACATACGTTATTAAAAGACATAGTTCAATATTTCAAAAAAAAAAAAAATCGCAGCCTATTGGAGTTACAATCAAAATGTGTAAACCATGCCCCGTAAATTTTTAATTTACAATTCCAATACCAGAAATCGGAAATAACAGTTTTCACTTTCAAATATAATCGCACTTATTCAAGGGGATAAACAGAGGTATTCACTTATTAACAACGGTAAATAGGGCTATTATGGTATTGTCCAATGAGAAACAAATTGCAATATGTGACCAACAGACACTGAGAACGCGGAAATATAAATTTTATACCGTTACGCATAAAAAGTTTTTTTTTTTCTGCTTAACTGTTATTTGCGATCTCTGTCTAATACCAACATTTCGGTAGTATACGGTAGGTAGGTAGTTGAATGTCTATAGATTGTTCTTGTTAGTATTGTGTGCAATCAGTTAAGTGTTAGGATGCTTTATGTTAGTATTTGTAAGGATATATTACAAACAACTCAAATGAAACATTGAAAATACTATGAAAAGAAGCTAACAATAATAATAATAAATAATGTAATAGGGTTCCGAAATAATAAGTAACAATAATCATGGCGACGCACAGAACAGAGGTGCATATATAAATATTGGTAAAGGTATTCAGCACAAAAGATTTTATATGTATGTAAATATATAAGCATAAAAGACAATACAGTAGTTTGGAATTTAACATTTTAAAATATTTTTATTAATTAATGGAAATATCAATATACAATCTTCTTCTTCTGATGTGCACTCGGGCAGGAATAAATCCGCAAATAACTACTGGCGCCAACTGTTGTATTTCCACAGTTCCACTTACTAAATCTTAAATCGGGCGTCCTCCGAAATTGCTCGACGTTCGCAATACGCTCTCTTTTCACATAAGTTTTGGATAATGCGGGTATGTAATGATATAACTGCTGTGTATTTCCCCATACTTTATTTCTGCTTATTTTCCTGCTAAAACCTTGGCTGAAGATTACATGTTGCATTTCAAATTGATAGTTTCCGGCTTAAGAGTTTACATCTATGTGTATGTATAATTCCTTATATATTTTTATAGAGACGATTCGGTTGAGCTAATTCTGGATTCCATTCGAATTCGTCTGTTATGAAACCGCACTTTGCGATTCCTTTGCAATTATGTTATTTTATATTTTACTTGTTTAGACCATTTAAATCTATTTAAAATAATAGTAATCAATTGAAAGTGTAAATTCGCAAACAGAATTTGCAATGGAGCCTGTCGTAAAAGTTGAATAAGTGTGGATTATTTTCTTTTGAATCTTCGCAATGCATACCGTCGACCTACTCTTCTTGTGTACATTGATTTAATTTGTTGCAAGTGCTGAATTGGGTTGTTCTTTTGCTGCACTGAATTTTTAATGTCGTGAGCGATGTTCCTCGCGTCGATCACGGTCCCTTTCCCGATCTCGATCTCTATCACGCTCCCTTTCCCGCTCTCTATCACGCTCGCGGTCGCGATCTGATGACCGATAACGTTCCTCATAATAGCTGCGCTTAGATGGTACATCGCTGACTGCTTCAGCGATTGCTTCAGGCGATTTCCGGGGACGTGCGGAACGGCTAGAGCTACTTTTTTTTCAAAATAGTTATAACGTTTAATGTTAGTTGAAATGAATTGAATGTAAATGATTGAGTATCTTAAAATCAGTGTGTAAAAAAGTGCTAAGAAGCTACCTGTCATCTCTGTAGTGATCTGGTACGGGACGTTCACGTTCCCGGCTTCTAGAGCGTTCTCTATATCTAGAACACAAAGTTTTTCGAAAAGATGTTCAAGTTTTTTTTTTTAGAATTCATATAATAGAAATGAACTTACCCCCCTTCACGATCGCGTTCGCGTTCGCGCTCTCTGTCACGTGAACGTTCTCTATAACGAGATGATGAGCGTTCCCTGCGTTGTCTAGGACGATGGGTACGTTCCCGAGATCGTGAACGCTCACGACGATTGTAACTTTTTGTTTCGATGCCATGCAAGGTATCTTGCAAAGAGCTGATCAATATTTTACAACGCTCGTCATGTGCCACTTTCGATTGCTTGATAAGCGAAATTGCCGTTACCAAAGTTTCAATAGCACTGGAGTACTCCCCGGCGGCCGCATCTGAAACGGCTCTATAGAAAAGAGAAAAAATATACATATATATATATACACATATCAAAGTTTTAATTTTAGTAATTTTTTTAAGAATTTGATCGCCATATTGAGTCCGCCACTTTGTATTTAAAAAAATTGACTTCAGATTCGTAATCAGCGACCACAAAAACTCCAGAGTGCCGGGTTTAGAACAAATCCAGTAATTTTTTAAAAAATTGGTGGCCATTTTGGATTCGCCATTTTTAATTTTGAAAAACTGACTTCAGGTTCCTAATTAGCAACCCCAGAAACCCCCTGGCAAAAAATGCGTAAATGCGTAAATTTTCGGGAACTAGGTCCATTCTAACTGTCCAAGACAGGTAAGTAATTAAGGGCATGTTCCCCAATAATACCAGAGTAATTAAATGTGAGAACCACATTTTTGGCTCCATTTTAACATGTCAAGAAAAAAATAAAAAATTTAGAACATCAGAGTTTTTATAAAAAAACCTACCAGCGCGAACTGTAAAAAACTCTGGCAAAATATTTTTTTATTTTCACTTTTATTTCAACATATTTTGAATAAAAAAAAAATACTGATTAAAATAAAATATTTCACGCAAACAACAAAAAATATAATCGATAATCGCATGAGGCTATTGCCTGAAAATTTTAAAATTCACTTATTGGCATTTTGCTACTATGATAGACAGCGAGTAATCATAGTCAACTTATTTGCAGTAGAGTGCATCACTATCCATACAAAAAAAAAACGGTACTGTTTTTCCACTGGAAATATAAAATCTATTATATTTAAAGACTTCCGCCAAAATATCACACAAAAATATTAAGATTTACGTGAGCTGGACCGATTTGAAAATACCTCCAAAAATTGAGTTTTTTTTTAATACTTTTTGAAAAAATTACCTCAGAAAGTTTACATAAAAATAATTTTAAAAAATTTTCTACGAAATAAAAATAATCAGATTTTTGATGCACATTTTTCAAAGACTGGTTTAAGAACAACTTGGATAACTCAGGCAAAACCTTACCAATTTAGACCCTTTTAGGAAGGTAAGATAAACACAAGTGTCGTTCCATGTTGAATTAACATGCGTGGGTATTGAATATAGAAAAAATTGGGATGTGAATGAAATAAAAAGGTTGAGAAAATACCTTTCCACTGATACCTCGTCAGTCTATATTGGTAAAGTTTTGGAGCAGTTATTCAAGTTTTTCTTACACAAACCGTTGAAAAAATTTAAAAAACATACAATTTTTTAATATTTTTATGTAGATTTTTTAAGCTTAAACTGTCATCTGAAGTGATTTTTTCCAAAAAATCCTTTAAGAAACTATATTTATTCATAAAAAAAAATCCATTTTTACCACCTCACGTAAATCTTAATATTTTTCCGAAATATTTTGGTAGAAGTCTTAAAATATACTAGGTTTGGTAATCCCGCCGGAAAAACCGCAACTTTTTTTGCTGATGCAGTAGTACAGTAGTCGAAAAAATTATAGCCGCACCAAATTTTCACAAAATTTAAAATATTATTTTTGTTGTTATTTAATTTTGGTTAGTTTTTTTATAGTTCATTGTTCAATGTTGACACTTGCAAAGTGTCCGAAAAAACAGTTCTTCACGGACACAATGCGAAGATGGGCAGACACAGACCCTCAATTCTGCACATTCGACACTAGGCTCAAGCAAATACCGCTGTTTTTTCACGGGAAATTTGAAGCACATTTAAATTATATAAGAAAAATAAGAAAAAATGTACATGAAAAAATAATTACATTCTTTTTTCGCTACTATGAAAGGCTGAAAATCTCGATAAAATGTCTCTTCCCTATTTACATTTTCGCCACCGTTCACGCGTATATCCACACATGCGCCTAGCGCTACCCTTATCTCAACAACCACAGACGCTTCTTGATTTTGTTCAGTTGCTCGATGAAATGTGTCTTTTCATGGGCTTTGCTCAACCGAAAACACAAAACAGATAGCACATGCAAAGAGAAAAAAGTGTTCTGCTCAGTACGAGACCAAGTGTGCTTCGTTTTTTTCTGTTTTGTTAGTGAGCAGACAGCATTGGAAAAATGTGTCAACAGTTATTTGCGAGCTCTGTATAAAAAATTAATAATATTATAAGTCGTTTTTTCGAAAACTTATTTTCGATCCAAAGGTCCCATTTAACTTTCCTTGTCATATATCGTTACCTTAATATAGAAATGCCTTATCTAAAATTTTTGTTTCTGCACAGAGCGATTAAAAAACTTAATAGAAGACTGGAACTAATTTTATGCTGTAGCAGTTAAGCAAGGCTACATACATATACATATGTATAAATACATAAGTATATTGTACACACGAAACAAAACAAACAACAGTCCACAGGTGCTGTTCTAACGTCCGAATTTCAATTATATGTATGCATATACATATGTACATGTACGTGTATGTAATTAAAATAGTGAACTTCCCATACCTGGCTATAGCTGAGCTGCTAACGGTGCGATTTCTGCCCATGATTTCTTCAAATTCTACCTCCGATAACTGTGGGCCAATTGGTTGGTCAGGGAATGGACCTTGCGGTTTTGCCGGTGCTGGTCCCGGCCATGGGCCTCGCGGTGCTCCTTGTTGAGCAAAATGTGGTGGTGGGCCATGTTGTGGCGGCATGCCCATTCCCTGTTGTGGCGGTCCTGGTGGGCCGTGTGGCGGGCCACTCATGGGTGGACCTCCAGGATGTTGCGGCGGACCACCTGGCTGGGCAAAGAAGGCTGGATTCACGTGTGGTGCCGGTCCACCGGGGCCTCCGTGAGGGCCACCTGGAGGGCCGCCAGGGCCTAGTTGGGGCGGGCCGCCCGGCGGACCACGTGGGGGTCCTTGCATGTGCGGTGGTCCCTGTGGTGGACCTCCAGGTGGACCTTGAGGTGGAAAGCCTCCATGCATAGGTGGCCTACTCCAGTCTGGACGTGGCCCACGAATTGGCATTCCCCCTGGGGGACCCTGGAACTGAAATATACGTAGTATAAGTTATTAGTAGTGATGCTTATAATAGTGCGAGGGCAAAAATGCAATTACCATCTTTTTAAATGTTTACGGAAACAAATTTATCAGAATGATCTGAATGCGTTTCTATAAAAGTAACTTCTGCGTTTTATGTATTACTATCACTGTACTATTTCTATGTAAAATTAAATTTAGCCTATTGAGTGCAGGTTTCATATCGTCTGCTCTCTAAAGAATGCTTTTCGAATTAGACCATTACAAGTATGGAATATAACGCTCATTTACTTCAATAGTATCACAATCCAAAAAAAAAAACAAATTTTGAACTAATACGGTGTTTACATGAGCCGATTTTATAGGCAACTTTTAGTTGAAAGCAACAACCGCTTGGTGTGAACGGCCTTTCAACTAATCGCTTCCAATGAAGTTGGGGGCAGCCAACTTTTGGTTCGCCTCTAAAATTGCCTGGAAAATCGCCTCATGTGAACACCGTTTAATTATGCAGAAATCACAGCTACCTCTTCATCTATGTTGTGTAAAAATTTCATAGCTGCATCGATTACCGGTAGCCCACTAGAACAAAATATGCATTCATTTTAACTATGGGGGTACATGTAAATTCAAAACTTTAAAGCCGTTTTTCCCGAGTCTCGCTTTTTTAAGTTGACACTATTGAAGTAAATGAGCAATATGTACAAAACGCTCGTTTACTTCAATAGTGTCATAATCGAAAGTAATACAAAATCGAGCAATTACCGCTACCTGTTCTTCTATATTGCGTAAAAATTTCATAGTTGTACCCATTACCAGTGGCTCACTAGAACTAGAAATATGTATTCTTTTAACTATGGGAGTATGTAAATCCCAAACTTTAAAGCTATTTTTCCCGAGTTTTTGGTTTTTTGAGTTACGACAGTATTCAAGTAAATGTGCGATATGTACATTTGTATTTTGTATAGCATTTTGAATACCTTTCTGTTATCGAGTATCTAGGAATAGTTTAATGAAGTTTGGAAATAACAATATGTAAATTTTATTAATAAGGTATTAAAGTTTACCATTTGGGGCCGCTGAGGAGGTCCATTGGGCGGCCCAGATCGTGGTCCGTTCGGACGTGGTTGTCCTGCACCTGCCCACTGCGCCTGGTTTGGCGGGTATCGAGGTGGTGGACCAGGCAATGGTTGCTGCGGTCCCATGTGCCCGCCGCCCTGATGCATCGGTGCCTTTTTGTATTGTTGTTCATTTGTAGATGTTTGCGTTATGTAGTTGTTGGAAATGCATAACATTCCCAAAATTACGTTGTGTATTTAATTATGAATTAAAGAAGACGGATTATCGCGTTGAAATGTTGCCATAAAAACATGAAATAAAACAACAATGATAATAATAGTAACAATAACAGCAAACAAAACGATATATTTGTTACACGATTTTTAAGTTTTTCTTTTTTTTTTGCATTACCCACACTACAATAAGTATTAGTAAGAATATGGAATTTTAGTAAAATAGCTTGGTATGAAATTTTATTAAAGACTAATTGGCAGAAGGGGAACGAAATATACAACAATAAATAAAATACAACCAGGCAGGTTCGGCAATTTACTTCCTGGTCAATTTGAATTCAAAGCGAGTTTGATTGAAATTCATACATGTATATACACTTGTGACCAGCTGATTGAGTTAAGTGGCATTTTGACCAGTTTTGGTTATTTTCCTTTTTTTGTTGAATTAATGTTTATAATTTTTATAAAAGTCTTGCACTTTTCATAACACTTAAAAATTCTTACGAAAATTCAACAAACTTTAACAAATGCGTCCAAAAATTTTAAACTTTTTATAAAAAAGAAAAATTTAAGGTATGCAGCTTTATAGCCCATCTAAATTTAGTAGGATATTAAAATGGATATGTAATGTAAAATGTTAAAAATTATAAAGATTAAATAGACAAAAAAAAAATAGCCAGAAATGGTCAAAATGTTACCTAACTTAATCAGCTGACCACAAGGGTATATATACAGTCAGCGTCAAAAATATGGCGTTTCTTTATTTATATTTTCCATACCAAATTTTTTTAATTTTTTTTAATATAGATAGTTCATGCAACAGTAGAAACTAGCATAATCAATTTTTTCTATTTCATATTGAGCTCCTCTGCGTTGGAAAGACCAGGTGGAGAAGGACTTGGCTTCACTTGGCGTAGTTGGCACAGAAGAGAAATGACTGGCGTACTGTTTTGTACTCGGGAAAACTTATTAAATTTAAGTATAATAAGACGCAGGTTTCAAGTATAAATATAGATTTTGTTCATGTGATATATGGAAAAAAAGTGCAACACCCTTGACAAACTAAATTCTCAAACATCAGCGACAATTTTTAGAGACTTCAAACTTGCACCTTATTATACTAAAATTTAAGGGACTACAAAACAGCGTACTCAAAATTTTTCTAAGAAATCGAATTGAAAAGTTGAAATTTTTTTTTGGTATTTCTTTAATTTTCCCCGAGTTGTATGTGAAATTAAAAAAAAAAATTATTTTGCTGGTTTAAATTGATGGTTTCAAAACCATCATCTTGTGATAAAAAATATTATTGTCTTAAACTAACAATAATTACTTGCTAGATGTTAACGGAAAAGTCTTAAATGATCGAGAATAGCTCAAATTGATAAGGTGTGAAAAAAAGTTCTTTCGCCGAGTTAAACTGGCTGATTCTGCAAAATGGAAAATGCCTGTTGTGACAGAATTGTCACTGTCACATTATAAAATATGCCCCTGCATGTATTTATGTATAATTGGAATATTATCAACATATGAATACACTTTTCATCAGCGCCGTAAAGTTTAAGCTTTTGCTTGGAATTGCTTATTTTTTCTTATTCAGGGTTTCCAAGCTTAATTTGAACGATCATGCTTATTTTGCACATTTCAATTTATAAAGCCAAGTACGGACCTTTTAAGAAAATGGTCAAGAAATAAATTGCTATTATTTCGTTGGTGTGAATAGTAGTGTCCAAGGAGTTTTGACATCTGATATTTTACAACCTGCTGTCTCATTTTTTCTTTCCTTAACCCTACAAAGATAACCCACGTCGCAGAGGCGCCTCCCGATGAGCATATTTTTGTAAATTTTTAATGAGGGCTCTAATGATTTGTGATTATAATAGAGATGGGCACGGGGCTAAATATTTAATCCCGATCCCGCCCATCCCGAAATTCGATTTTTAAGTCCCGACGCCGCCCATTTCGACGTTTTTCAGAATTGTACCGCGGGTCCCGTGGGTCCCGAAATCTATCTCTAAAGCAGGCTACAAACGGACAGCAAATTTAAACGATCGGTTGAGATTTCAAAGTGTGTGGCGTGGTTTGCAAACCGATCGAAGGTTGACAAAAATGTTCATCATCTTTCAAATTAATTTTAAATAATAATGAAAGATCTGGTATCTTCCGATTATTTTGTTTTGCTTAAAAAAAGTGCATATTTCAAACATCGTTTTTAAGGAAGATTTTGTAAATTTGCGGGGGTTGCACGCCATATTTTTACAGATCTTCCCGATACCGCCCATCCCGGCCAATGTTAAATCAGTACCGTGGGTCCCGCTATCCCGCTCCCATCTCTAGTTTATAATGCTCAAATTTATAATAAAAACGCATTTAATTTTTAAAACTCTTCCAAACTTATAAAATTACTATATTAGGTGCATTTTTTTGTAAGCGAGCGACAAAAGAACCATTAACAATTCACAATAGAGCAGTTTTTTCACTTAACCAGACTACCCTTCAGGTCGTGTATTTTTAACCGACCTGGCTGCACTCGGATAAATAGCCGAGTTTGTGTTGTTGTTTAGCGTGTATTTCGTCATTTGAGCGAGTGTTCTTTTGGAGCTCGGTTGCAAAAGAATGCACCTATTATTTAAATAAATATGCAAAATTAGGGTAATATATACGCTCTAGAAAATCGTGCGCTTCTGAAGCGTATCTTTTACGTAAGTTGTAACATGGTTATCTTTTTAGGGTTAATAATGGTAATTTTTGTTAAAACAAGGGTGCGTTGTACTCTTCACCAAGAGTACAGCGTAGCAAATTTCTTAGGAACTTCGTACTGCTTAAGAAAATTTGGCTCTAAATTTTTGTAGACCATTTTTGGGCAGTTTTTCTATTCATCGAGCTAAATAAGGCATTGGTGTTATTAAATAGATTAAAAACAATTTATGTATCTCAAATGGAGAATAACGAATATTAATGAAATTAAAACGACCAGAGCAAATCTCTTTGATTTGAGAATATCAAGCAACACTTGATTGTCCGTTGTAACAAAACATTAAACTGTACTTAAATTTTGTTGTTTAGCGAGCATATTTGCAAGCCAATGTTTTAGTGCTTATCTAAGTGCTTAAAATGAATTTTTTGTTGCTTATCGTCGTTTAAAGTACAAAACCGCGTAAAGTCATTCTGCAAAACCGCGTAACTTACATTGGCTGCCAAAAATTGGAGTTGCTCACACAAGCTCTTGGCTCAATCCTTATCCATTCGTCCTGAAATATACTAGCTAGAAATGCGATTGCTTTATAAAAAAAGAGAACCATTTTAAAATATGAGTGTGTTTACTCTCTAGAAAATAATTTACGCACAGCTCACATACGCGGTTTTGCATTTTGTTGATACGCGGTTTTGTACTTTAAACGACGTTATTTTCTTCGGCCTTACTTTTCATACATAAATCGAGAAGGATAGAAATCTTCTATATCTATTCTGCCACTACATGTGTTTTCTAATTACATATTAACAAAATTATTAAACATACTGTGCTACTTTTCGTTAATTGGCCCTAGGCTGAATATCGTCATCGTCGACGATCGTCAGGTCAGCGCATCAGTAAAATGGCTGACGATGGCAGTACCGTCACTTTTACTGAGGATGACGATATTCGGCATAGGGACGAACATTTACTTAAATATAATTGTTTGCTTGATGTCATAGATAAATCTGTACATTATAGGGAGTACACTTAAATTGGCATTCAGAACTACTCAGATAAACGTTGCTAGCTTAGTAGAGTTCAAATTAAAAAGTAGGCACACCAAACAGTTGTGAGCAAATGGTAACTACTTAGGACTACCAATTCTAAGGGTATTAAAACATACTATATATATGTATGTATGTATATGTATATATACATACGTTTTGACGATTTTTATTTATTTATATACTAAATTTTTCATGTTTTTTCATAAAAATAGAGTTCATTTAACCAAAATTAAACCTGGTAAATAAATATTTTTATTTTCATATAGAACTCGGGAAAATTCAAGAAATACAAAGAAATTTTCATAAAAAGTTTCAACTTTTCAATTCGATTACTTAAAAAAATTTAAGTATGCAGTTTTTAGCCCAGTAAATTTTAGTATAATAAGGTACAAGTTTCTGAAAATTATCACTGATTTTTGAGAATTTCGTTTGTATACTCAGAATTTTTTCTAATGAATTGAAAGGTGAAAAATTTGTATGAAAATGTTTGGTATTTCTTGAGTTTTCCCCCGAGTGTCCAATTAGAAAAAAATTTGATTTTGCTGGTTTTTGCTGTTGAATGAATTACATTTAAAAAAAATATGAAAATTTTGCTATGGAAAATATAAATAAATAAAATCGTCAAAACGTCGGGGGTTTTTATATTTTTGTCGCTTACTGTATATGTATGTATGTATAATTGATAAGATATAATCAAAGCACACATACCTGCATACGTGGGGGCCCTGCATTCGGTCCTACAGGTGGACCCTGTATGTGCTGTGGCCGGTATTGGCCTGGCGCCATATTGGGATTCATCATACGTGGTGGATGGCCAGGGGGTACCCCTTGTCCACCAGGATGTGGCGGCATTGGTCCCCCCACACCCATGTTCGGAGGTGCGGGACCACGTGGCGGTCCATTCTGTTGCGACGGTGGAACTGGGCGCGTCTTCTGCAAACTCTCAAACTGGTTTAGCGCCTGTTTAGTCGGATACGTTACCACCGGAGCTTGCCCGTGAAGCTCTTTTTTCGGCAAACGTTCTAAAACCAGACGTAAGCTTGCTTCAGATCCCAGTGATATAACGCTGAAGCCTTTCGATTGACCATTTGATCTGTTCTCAAAAAATTTTACCTCTTGGAAATCGGTTACTCCAATTTCGCGCATAACATTCGCTATATCTTGGTCAGTTGTCCACTGTAGAGATTTATGATAATGAAACAAGAATTTATTTTTCTAAGTACAACAATTATATTGGTTTTTAAATAGTACATCCAAATTTAAGCATAGACAGACAAAAATATTCCGGATTAACCGAAGCTCAAAAATATTTTTTCACGTGTGGTTCCGGGGTTTCAGCTCAACGCCTAGTAGATATGTATATTTTATTTATTTGCTTTTAACACCTTTACTTTTTATTTTTAATAGCTTTTTGTACCTTTTTATTTAAATCAGCTAATTCTGGCCTTTACGCCGGACTTTACTGATCAAAATTCCAGTGAGCTCGATGAAGAAGTTTGAATGAGAACAAAATAATGGAAATTTGAATTTGAGTTAATGCAAGGCATATTTAACAAGGTGGAAGTGACAACTAGCTCGAACTCTCTTGTAGCTGGTTATAATGTCAAAAAACTGTAAACAAACAAATTAACCCTATTAGGTGGGCGTGCTGTGTTTGCTACAGGAAAATAAAGCGAGAAAGCTTTTTTTATTACTTCACCTGCTTATAATTTCACCATGGAAATGCATCAGCATAAATACATTCATATGCCTATACGTATACTAATTTTAAGGATTACTTCAATATTACTTTCATAGAATTTTAGCTACATTCGCATCTTATATTCACATATACATATACAGAAAAGAATACCTCATAGAGGAAACCACGTCATTAAATGAAATAAATGTTTTATGAAACTGTTTTAAACATTTTTTTGTTTCTATTCGCCCAATGTTTTTGCTCGTTTAGTTCTTCTACATATGTACGTATGTATATCAGTGTAAATCTAGCTAGGTCCTGACGCGGTTATGTGTGCATAATATTGTAAGAAAATTTTCTTACTCAGTGGTGAAATTCCGTGGCTTCAGGCAACCAAGTCTTCTAATTTCGCACAGAATTCAAAACTATCTCAAAGCACAATTAAATTTTTAATGCAAATTAGAAAATGGCAACTTGAAAAGTGTTAAAAAATATTCATCATTTGACATTATAGTCGGTGTTCAAAAGAGAGAAATGTCAAAATCCTACCTTGTTTAATATGCCTTCGTACTATGCCTTTTTTGACGCAAAAATGAGAAAATTAGAATTGCATGAATTTTTTGCGATTTTGGTTAAATATTTCTCGGATTCGCCCATATCCAGACAAATAGCGCAATTTGAAAGATCTTGGCTAGCTTGGAATAACTGCATTAATCCAATCCGGGATCTAGCTCACCACGGATAATCGAAAATTCCAGTTAAGAGAATTTATAGGTTTTCACAATAACTACAAGTTGGTGCATGCAACTTTACTCACCCAAAATTCAAACTTTTTTCTCAGAAGTGTTCGAATTTTTTGAGTATACATAAAAATATTTATTTATTTATTTATTGAATGAAAAATAATAATACAATTATTTCACAAAAAAAGGAACACTAGCTGCCAGGGCTTACGGGCTCCATATACAAATAAATTGTGGTTATTCGTTATATGGAAGCAATGCGACAAATCGGATTATTATTATTGGCTTTAAGACGCGTTTTGACCTGGTTCCGCTTAAGTGCACTACTACCGAAAATTCTTAAAAATAAATAATTAAACATAAGTGGCGAACAACATCACTTTGATATGGGGGTGCTATAGATATGTCCAATACTGTATATGTAAATGTTTTTTTAGCCTATCTTCTTCCTAAATTGGCGACACTAAGAACAAAGTATCGGAAGAATCAAGAAAAATCATACTACAGCATTTTGATAACATAGTTCCTGGAAGAATCTTTGCAAAAGTTGTCATGGCAACAGAAGCTTTTTATAAAAATCACCAATATTATTGCCAGTTTCACAGCGATCCTGTAGGGCATTTCAAGGCCATAGAGCACTTTGTATTGGTTACAGTAGAAAATTAAAAGTTGGTATAGATATTACAAATATCAAAAGGAAAAAACTATGGGGGTGGGTGTCCCGTTTTCTACGATACATTTTTTCCCATACAAAAGTTGGACTACTCTAATGTATGTACATATCGTTAGCTTAAAGAACAAAGTTGCTCAGTCAATTATTTTTTTATTTATTTTTTTTTTTCATTGAATATAAACGAGAAAAAATTATCCTCAATCCCTTTCGAAACGATGCATTTTTAATACCCCTTGCTTCATATAACAAAATATAGCTTTTCATAAAAAGTGGACTTCACAACGTTTTACTCTAATCTAGCGAAATAATACATATGTATTCCTTTGGAAATTTCGGTGATTCATTGGCATTTTTTAAATATTTTATATACTACTGGGGTTTTAATTAAGCTTTTTGTGTACTTGTTTATTTTCTAAACAAAAAATTATTATAATTCTATAAAGAAGTGCGCGCAAAGATTCCTTTAGGGTTTCATTATTCAACTTAGACTACAAAAATAACTAATTAGTCAAGAATAACAGAAAAGACTAATGACTTCAACTTTGCAGACTTCAGTCAAAGATGTGATTGATTGGCTGCAGTTAAGAAATGTCAATGAATGTGACTGCAGCGATTTAAAGTCACGATGACTGCATTCTTTAACACCTCTGGACTTAAACTTGTTTTTTTAAACAAATTATAACAAAAATTTACTCGTAGCTTTTGCTGAATGAATGGTGAATAAAAGCTCTTTTTTAGCGCATAATTTCAAAACATGCCAAATTTTGAGTTGTGCCTCTTTTGAAGACGGTCTGTGATATATACATATATATATATTCCGATCGGTAGACTGATGGATGCCTTCGGCCACGCTCAGGGATTATAAACCTCACTAAGTAGAATTATCCTTTTTGTGTTGCCAGAGAAGAGTGGCAGAAGTAATCGTAGTAAAAATAATTGCATATATTGTGTTAAATTCATCATAGCCTTTTTGGGCTATAGGCTTTATCGCAAATCTCTTTTATGTATATTTGTATTTGTACTCAAAAATTTCCCGAAAAGGTTAATGAAAATACTCACCCAAGTTAAGTTACCGACATATAGTTGATAACGCCGCCCCATATGATTGGGCGTTAAACTACCACCACCTTGATGGTATAGACCATTGGACCCGCCACCGTTTCCGGCCGAATCACCACCAGCGACTGCTGCAACATTATCGCCAGCATTGACAGAGACAGTCCCCCCAGCTGTAGCTGAAGATTCGGTCGGACCCCCTATATCGTCATATAAATCAACACCTTCAGCAGCAAATTCATCCTAAAATGTAGTGTATGAAATTTCTGATAAGTTTCAGATCAGCCATCTCTTTTACTCACCTGGTTCTGCGCGGCAAAATCTTTATCCAGGTCTTCAGCGTACAGGTCTAAAACGGCACCGTCAGCCATGGCAGTCAATTACCAATTTATAACTTTTCTGATGTTTGCAATTTAAAAAGTTTAGCATTCAAAAATACAACAAAAACTTATTACGACTAGTTACCAGTTTTTAATTATCTTTATTTTCGTTTCCCCCGCTAAAAACCGCATTCAATTAAAAATAATGTGTATGTATATTAAGAACTGTGTGCTCTGTGCTCTTCTTCAATACCAGCCACACCGGTATAAAGCGTGAAATTTTTGCACAAATTTCCACCTTAGTTTACTTTCTTCTCTTCTTTTAAACACATTTTTGTTGTGCGATTTTTTTCCTTTGTATGATTAACACTTTTAACTCGATCTTATGAAATATCTCACAACTTTTTACCTAATAGGTATGTCCTGAAAATCCAACAGAAAATTATTTCTTCTCAATTCACACACGCCAACCGAATAGAAAATGGAAGTGCGACCAGGGCTGCCTACTATTCTTAGCAATGAGGATGTAAAAGCCCCAAATAGAAAAATATAGCTGATGCCAGATAAAACTTTGTGGCTTTGCGTGACGCAATGTAATCAAATTTTATGTTTTTGCATGACAACTCGAATTTGGACGAAATAAAATAACTATCAAACCAGCTGATAGTCAACACGCGCAAAAAGATGTGAGTTGGCCATCTTTTCGCTTCGCGCTGCAGCTGAAACCATCTATGTGGCATGCTTCGTGCATTTTCAAGCAACTCATCTTATCTGTCAAAGCGAATCTGTCACGCGATGCGAAGAAAGCGTTTTATCTGGCACTTAAAAGTGTCTATTTTATCCCTTCTGATTTAGCAATAAAATTGAGCCACATTTCTAAAACAAAAGTGCAATGTCTGAAACAAGATAAACTAGTTGTTTACACATTAGAAATTAGAAAATTTTAGTAAAATGAAAGAGTAGTAAGTAGTATATGCGAAGGATTTCATAAAAATGTATTGGAATATTATTGCTTTAAAAAAGTGCCATTTACAAATCAATTCCGCACGTTACCGAAGATTTTGTAACCGGAAAATTGTATTACCAAAAAATGTTACCAGTTCTTGTCACCGTAGTTCCAGGTACGTAGATAATGCAGTTGAAATATTCAGCAATTCAGCTATGAAGAGTTGTGGACATTTTGGCAGTGCCTATTTCACGGGGTAATACTTTGTTACCAGCTTATGAGATGGTAACAAAATTTACCGGCTACAAGAGTGCTCAGAAAAGGGTTTAAAAATTGACAGGAACTTCATTTGCCGTTACACAACTTTTATTACCAGCGCAGAATAGACCTGTTAAAGCAAAATAGGACCCAAATGGCACGGCCAATGGATTCAAAGAGACTCAGGCCAAAAAAAAATACTGTTTGAGGACAAAATAAGTGACTATCAAACAGTCTATTGCTGGGTATCTCCAGCTAGGATGAATTGGTTCATGGAACAGGGCTGTTAAAATAGCTTTGTTTCTTAACAGATCATTATCACAAATTATCACTCATTTCTGCTAGAAGGCGTTTCTTAACTCAAAAACGAGTAGAAACTAGAAGCTCTCTCTTCCGCTCTTATTTTTTTTAGCTCTTCTGCTAATTTCTGCTGTCAAAATAAAACTCGCGCCAAATATTTTTAATAGACAAATACACCGATCAGGTGTTTACCTGCTAGTCTTTTCTAGTTTTGCGTTTTTTTTACTATTTTTTTATTTCGCTCTCTCTGAGCGTAATTCTGTTAATTTTCTCATTCTTCTTCTTCCTGATCATTATCTGCTAGAAAAGAAAAGAAACAAAGCCTAAATGCAACTCTGAATTCTTCGAAAAATACCACATTTCGAAAATGTTTAATGAGAAAAGTGGCAACATGCAACACTGGCCACTTGACTTCCGGTATTGCATTTACTGCCAAACCGATTCGGTAGTGCTTTTGGTCGCGCAATCATTCCTCTTCCAGTGCTGTCGCCGTCTTTCCAATCAAATGGGCTGTTCACAGTTCGTTCCAAATAGTGACTCAAAATGTAGACGTCTTCATTTTGAGACGTCTTCTAACTGTAAAATCCGTGGTGTCGTTGTTTCCCATACAAAATTGGAAAACGACGACGTCTACTTTTTTTCACACCCAAAGGTATGTTTTTTACGCGTCTACATTTGCAACCTCGCAGCAGGGTTGCATTATTTATGGCAATACTAATCACTTTTTTTTTGTATTTATTGGGCACGTTTTCTGTATTTGCATTTAATTTGAGCGCAATTTCTGATGAAAAGAAACAAATCAAAGAAAAGAAATAACAAATATTAGGAATTGGTAATTAAGTTAAATAATTACAATTTTTCAGAAACAAATTCGAAAGGCGACATATTTAAGCCCTGTATGCAGCTCTCAAGAAAACGGTCAAGAAAAAATTGCCATTATTTCGCGTGTGTGTCCAAGGAATTTTGACATTTTTGATACCTCACAGCCTGTTGCCTCACTCTTTCCACAAGAAATAATGGAACGGGCATATATTTCTGTTGCAAGCCTGGGTTGCCTTGTGCTCTTTTTTCACAAAAAACTTTAGAAAACCGTACTAGAAAACGTAGTAAATTTCTTAAGAACTGCGTACTGCCTTAAGGAAATTTGACTCAAGAAAATTTCTTAGCCATTTCTTGTACGTCATTTTATATGGAGTTTTTGCTTTTCTTGAGAGCTGCATACAGGCCTTTAAAATGCACGCAAAGAAGAAATATCTGGCAACACCAGCAAAGTTTTGCGACGATTTTGCGACGACTGCTAGAAAAGGGTGCTCCCAGTTTGATGCTAAAAGCTCTGTATGCAGCTCAAGAAAACGGTCAAGAAAAAATTGCCATTATTTCGCGTGTGTGTCCAAGGAATTTTGACATTTTTGATACTGCACAGCCTGTTGCCTCACTCTTTCCTCAAGAAATAATGGAACGGGGATATATTTCTGTTGCAAACCTGGGTTGCCTTGTGCTTTTTTTCACAAAAAACTTTAGAAAACCGTAGTAGAAAGCATAGTAAATTTCTTAAGAACTGCGTACTGCCTTAAGGAAATTTGACTCAAGAAAACTTCTTAGCCATTTCGTCATTTTATATGGGCAACACGGGCAACACGCTTTGTGCTCTCGTTCCTCTGAGTAAAGAGACACTCAAACAGACGCGGTATTGGAAGTGCGGTACAAGGCGGTACATAGTATAGTTGTGTACCGCCTTATACCGCACTTCCAATACCGCGTCTGTTTGACTGTCCCTTTATTCTAGTTGGCCGTTCATAGCTGACAACAACAATTGTGTACAAAAGAATTGCTCTGTGTGAACGCGAAGGGCAACACCAAAAGAGAAATTGCCGAAATTGAGCAACAAAAGTGTCTCTGTGTGAACCGAGGCTAACGAACAGTATTTTTGAAGACACAAACGAATAGTGATGTGTTGAATCGATACTTTAAAGTATTGATCGATACTCGGAACCGATTTAAAAAGTATCCAATACTTTCGACAATCGGTACCGAAATATTTAGGTCTCTAATAAAAGCGCAAAAACGCCAAAAATATGGAAAAAACGGTTCAGGGGAGACTTATCAAAAGCCGAATGTACTAAAAGAACTTTTGATATTGATTCAAGTGAAAAATGTATATATATATACATACGCATGTCGTCGTCTTCATAAGGCAGAGGAATTCTCATAGCTCAGTTATGCATAGTTTACACTGCACTGACTTCTACATATGTAATGATGTGCGCTTAGACGCAAAGCTCATTTAACCGATTTCTTCTTATGTGACAACTCATATGCAATGCCAAGAATGCATAACTGAGCCATGACTTGTCTGAAGCATCAATCATCCGTCCGTTTTCATCCGTCAAAGCATTGTAATTTTTTTATAAACTTCAAATATATAAAACAGCGAAGGAATCGGTATTGGGTACCGAAAAGGCAGTATTGGGTACCCAAATTCTTTTGAAGTATTGGGTACCGACAGTTCAGTACCTCACTATAAAAGAAGTCTTTTTACGGAATTGTTAAAAGTTTGCATTTATGCCACAATAAATATACATATGTTTATCAAAGAATATGATCGCGGCACAGAATTTCATTTAGCCTTTGAACGAAAGAAGTAATAGAGAAGCGGATTAAGCAATAATTTTAGGGGATACAAATACTTTTAACATAAAAAACAGTTTTTAAAGTATAGTGATACATTTTTGTCAGATTTCAAGATTAAGAAGTAAGGCAAAGGTGCAGGATGTGGGATTCTTCTGTTTTCCTGAGCACACTGACTCCAAAGTTTTATGTTGCCCTAACCGGCACCTCAAGCCTAATATCCGGGCTGATTTTAATATTTGAATGGTGGTATTTTCGCAAATATGGAACTTCGTTTATAGGTAAAAAAAAAATTAAATTTAACCGAGTTCTCCAACTCAATCGCAGCTTACTAATTTCAGAACAAGTTTCAATAAACCATATCAGCCCCTGGATTAATGGAAGTGATGCTCAAAGCGAAACTAATGGAAATGGTAACAATGGTAACGCAAATGGTACCGCAGGAAGCACTAGTAATCAGTCAACAGGAGCGAGTCAGCAAATGCCAGAATGCAAAGTTTGGCGAAATCCTTTAAACTTGTATCGAGGAGCTGAATATCAACGCTTCTTTTGGGCTACAAGCAAAGAGCCTCTTACGTATTACGACATGAATTTGAGTGCACAAGATCATCAGACGTTTTTTACGTGTGAAGGTAAGTAAGTATACGCATAAAATAAATGCAACAATGTATATAAAAATAATCCTTGTGTAAAGGTGATGCAAGGAAAGAGGAATATGAAATAATGCAAACAGCCTGGCGCGAACGAAATCCTGTTCAACGAATAAAATCAGCTCACAATGCGTTGGAAATCAATCCAGAATGTGCGTCAGCTTATATTTTATTGGCAGAAGAGGAGGCAACTACTATCGTTGAAGCAGAGAAAATTTTAAAAACTGCTCTAAAAGTAGCAGAGACAAATTATCGAAGGTCACAGGCCATTCAACATCAAGGCCCTATAGCTGAAGGTATACATCGTCGTGATACAAATGTGTTAATCTACATTAAGCGACGTCTAGCTATGTGTGCACGAAAGCTCGGAAAACTGAAGGAGGCTGCGAAGATTTTTCGTGATCTTAGCAAAGAGATACCATCTATAATGAATGTGCTAAACGTGCATGAAAATCTCATAGAGACTCTGCTGGAGATGCAAGCTTATGCCGACTGCCAAGCAGTTTTGGCCAAGTATGATGACATTTCGTTGCCCAAGTCGGCGACAATATGCTACACTGCAGCTTTGTTAAAAGCTCGAGCTGTGGCAGATAAATTTTCTCCCGATATAGCCTCAAAACGTGGACTTAGCTCAATTGAAATGAGTGCGGTGGAAGCTATCCACCGCGCTGTAGAATTTAACCCACATGTACCAAAGTATTTATTGGAAACAAAGCCACTCATTTTACCG